TAGAATTCCAAATGATTTCTACTATCTTTGTCCAAGACATTGATTAAGAAGCACTTATTTTCCAAACAATATAAATTATTTTAAATAACAATTTCAATTCAAATGGCAACAATACAAAATACCTCTAAGCTTCTAAGGTATTTGTTACGACTGAAACATCTACTAGAAAATGTCTGCTTAAACCCGCTATTTTAAATCACATGGTGGGTCACGTGACGGGTTACGTGATAACTAATTTGAACAGCGCAATAAAAAATGCCATTTAGCACTTACTCCAAAACAGCCTTATGTAAAACATCAGATTCTTACGCAAGAAATGATTATTGAAAAAAAAACGTTTACACTTGGGTAACACGTGGGCCTAATATGACCTTGGTAGTAGCAATCTTTTCATGTAATGTTTACAAACGTCTTAACCAAGATGAACTAAAAGTAGTGATAAAGCAACTGCTACAGTCTTATCTGGTCAATTGAATTTTCTGAAATGATGCAAATCCGGCTAAAAAAGAAAGTTTTTTTTTACGTCTTCTGTACATTTACTATTCCAAATAAATTACTGTAAATATCCGATCACAAATAAATTAGATTAAATAAGGTAATATCTGCATCCAATAATTTCTTTTCTGATAAATATCGCAACAATGTAATGTTTAGTTGTGAAAGTGACATTTTATGGTGAACATGGACTCTAGTTGGTACTGTGTACGATACACAATAATGATGTGACATCAATCGCATTGAACATTCTGCACTGAAAACCGATTTTGTCTTTACAAAATGTTTGTTTGCATGGTCTCTTGTTCTTTGATTAATAAGTTTGAACAAAAGTATAGTCTACTTTTATTAGTTCATCATTGTTTGGGACCTTTTTATGCATCATTTGTCCAAATGAACAAAATTATTAATTCTTCTTTCTATCTAAATAACTTCCACTGAAATAAAAACTATGTGATGAAAGAATATCAAATGGGTATTGATTTAATAATAATGAAATTTGTTGAATACTATTCAGTTTTGCTCGCAAAAGCTGGACTTCATTCAACTCGTTTCATAAATTCAATATTAAATCTTTATCCATTTGATATTCTTTATATATGAAATAAATAACTGGGCACTTTATTATGACGTCCAAAATTACAGCAACTGTGGAAATTTAAAACAGATTAAAAGTTTAATAAGCTAATGAATAGATTAGTGAACAGATCCAATTTTTTTCCTTAGTACACATTTTACCCTTTGGCACAAATGAAAAACACAAACAAGCTAATAATTGCACTAAGTAACCAAATAAAATTATCAGTTATTAATGAAATTTCCACGCGATGTTTAAAGTCAGCTTCTTACACTACCTACCAACAATATCATGAAAAACTGAAATGCTGCTTTTTATATCATTAAAGAAATACACTGGGATATATTTCAAACTTTGTTTGAATATGTCCGCTGTGTTGACCCCAACTCGTCCCGCCCTGTGGCGTCACTAGTAGTGCGTAGTGTGCAGACCAAAATAACTGTCTATAAAATTTTTGAATGTTTGTGCAGGAAGGAGGTACATGGGGAGGGGGGGGGAACACCATGAGTTACCGCACTGGATGACACCAAATCTAGTGACGCCAGTAATTGCCCCGTCAACATCGAGTCCACCTCCGCCGCTGTACGTAATTTCGACTACACTTATCTGTTGCAACCTTACTGCAATTAAAATAATACAAAACGTGATACTCCATAGCAACACATCTCTCTCTCTCTCTCTCTCTCTCTCTCTCTCTCTCTCTCTCTCTCTCTCTCTCTCTATATATATATATATATATATATATATATATATATATATATATATATATATATATATATATATATATATATTATCAAGAGAAACTCGCATTACAAGATTTTTTGCTTTTCTTGCAAAACACTCCGTGAAATTGTAATGTGTCGAAGTTTGAATAAAAACGGAAACTTAAAGTTTAATTCATTGTGCATTAAAATTTTATTACAGACAAGCCAAAAGTTTTTGTGAAGGGTCACTTTGACCTTCATGTCTTCAAGTCGGTGTTAAACTCGAAAGGCCAGCTTTTCGGCTCACCGATAATTGATCCAGGCTTCGCCGCGCTTTCCTGAGAAAGTAAACATTAGAGCTACCAAACATAACCGCTTGGAGGTGAATCCCGAGTCAAATAGTCATTTTCAAAGGAATGTTGATAGGCATCGTATTTCTCAGATCTAGGCTGTCAGAATCTGACGAAATGAATTATTATTTTATGAAACAACTTGGAAACCGCCGATTACGATTGGTCAGTTAAATTAAGGCGTACACCTTGGAAGTAAGGTAAATTTAAAAGTAACAATCTTGGTCGAATTTCATTAGTCTAAATTTCCTGTGAAAAGGACAAGGTTGGTTTCAGGGAAAACTTAAAGAATAGTGCTTTCATCGCTAAAACAAGAAAAAGAGACCAGGTGGCTGTCTTGTAAGAAAAGCCAGGTTTTAGTACTCGGACGAACAAGTTCTGTAAAAGAACAGCATTAAGGAAAAAACTCACACGAACAGACGGGGACAATCCGAAGACGGGAATCCAGAAAGGAGAGTTAAAAAAAATAAAGATCAAAGAAGATCACCGTGTACACGGGAATGTGGGAGGACGTGTGATACACGGAGACGAAGACAGAAAGCGACGCTAGGTGATACAAATCAGGAGTAGACATTGTGCTCTTTTCACCACTCGTTATGATGATGACATAAATCCAAAATAGAACAATGCTATTAAATTGTGTTAACGTACATGTGTTGAATTGAATCTGTCACTATTAGTTATTATCGATTAAACTGTTATTTTATTGTCTAAAGGGGGCCGTATTTATTATTTCTTCTCAACGGTCTTACTCAGTTCTGTGTTGATGCTCTATCTAGCCACTCACACCGGGCAATAAAATCGAGGGAGGTAATCCTGTAGATAACGGCAGCCAGATTTAATTAACCACCCCGAGAGGAAACGTTACATAAATGTTTAGTTGTTTATGTGGATGTAATAGCCTTTCAATTTTAAGCAAAGTGTTTACCAATAAGTGAGAACTATCTAAAATTAATTTTCCTTTTTTTTTTTTTTTTTTTTTTTTAATAAAATAAAGCTACTAGGATGCATACTCTCAGTAAGTTTCATGTGGCTCCGAGTTGCCGAGTTGTCTAAAGCGCTCATAGTTACTTACTACCACCATCTCATCTCTGTGTGAATTCGAGTCTCGGGATCGGCTAATCTGGGTACTTGCTAAGGTTTGCCAGCAGTTTATTGTGGGTCGATGGTTCTTTCCCGGGTTTTTCTTCCACAATTTATACTGTCCGCCATGTCTATCTTGTGCTGAAAAATTGCGTTAACCCTAAGTTTCACGATTCCATTTTTAACAGTGTTAAGTACTCCCTCACAATGAAAAAAAAAAAAAACAAAAAAAACAAAACCAAAAACAATGTGGCCCTGAGTTAAATATAACAACTTAACGTAAGCCAGAAAAATATTAAATGCATGTACACAGTAACTTTCTTTTGTTGCAAAGTTATGGTGCTAAAAGAGATGCAAACGATCATCGAATTTGACGATTTTAGCATGAAGTTTTTGAGATGGAATCCAAATTGCCGAAGCTTGAACTACATGCAACAGGATCCTAATTTCGTGAAGAAGGTTAGCATTCAGCAACATTCACGAATCTAGATATGACTGCATATATGCAGATTGCACGAAACGTGAGCTAAATACAAAAGAAATTAACTTAAGAAAGTAACGCGACATACAGGTCACACTGACCTTCATTTGTGTTAAGGTGTTGTAATAATAGAGGTACATGCCAATATGTTGTCTGGCGATTCTAGCATAAACAGAGCTTCGGAGATAAAATTAACCAGAAAATTTAATTTAAGTAAGTGAAGCGTGAAATACACGTCATAGCGGTCAACTTTGTTAGGAGGATGTAATACTCTTCAAGATGCATCCCCTCTTCAAGTTTCATGGTTCTAGACACCACAGTATTTATGTAGCATGCACAAAAAGCCAAGATGAACTCAAAAGCCCTAACAAAGAATGTACAACTAATTTACACATACAATATAGTCCCATTAGCGAGATGACCGAGGATAAAACGTACGGGAATATTTTGATTTGGAATTAGGAAGAAAGAATCGGCAAACATTTAGTGTGGATCCAAACATACAAAAAACGCAGCCACACACGCGCTGAAACAATGTACATGTACTCTAAAATTTGGACTAAAATATTTTATCCAAAGTTAGTATCGACATGTTTAGTAGTCTCATCCGAGGTGGAAATCCAGACGCATTGAACTTAAAAGCAGTCCGTAATTAATTTACGATCTGCCATTGTTTTGAGCATGCCTGATTGTATTTCGAGTCGTGCGCAGTTGGTCAGTGTGAAAGAAAATATAATATGCAAAGATACATTCATGCAACATAGATTTTAATTCGTTGGGAGTTTGTTTCATTGCGTGAGATCTTACATTTTCTAATTTCAACTCGCATGCCATCTGGCTAATATTGCAATTAGCGCCCTCAAAGAATTTAGCTGCAACACGAAACATACGATTCATTTTTTTCACATGTGAAAATATAGGAATGGAAGTCAAAAAATAAAAATAATTCACCAATAATTTTCTATTTTTCACACCTGAGAATAATCTAAGAATGTCAAGACCTACAAGATTAGCCCGCGATAAATTCATTGCTGTAAAACGGGTAACCTTGACCCAAAATCGTAAGGAGGGTACGTGAATGTGTTATCATGTGATGTGATTATGATTTAGTCATATCGCTACGATGTCTGCAGTGTGGCAGTTTATAATGAGGTCTAGCACTGGGGCATCATGCCGCACACATGTAGCATGATGTCCCACCCAGTCACATTATCCTGACACCAGGCCGACCAGTCCTAACACTAATTAACCTCTTAATGCTGAGCGCCATGTGAGGCAGCTGTTAGCACCATTTTTGTAACTCTTTGGTATGACTCGACCGGGGATCGAACCCATAACCTCCCGCATCTGAGGCGGAGACTCTAACCACTTGTCCACCGGAACAGTTTAAGGAGGGCATACGCATGTGCAGAATTAATGTGTCTCAGTTTCATTACGATTCATCAAAAGTATAAACCAGATGCACGAAGGGGTTTATGAAATAGAAGCAAATGAAGAATCTATAACCGAAACCTTAACGGAAATTTTCACCGACTGTGATCATGTCAATGGTACAGCACATGCGACAAAAATTTGTCTTAGCTTTCTTTTTTATTCATATATATATATATATATATATATATATATATATATATATATATATATATATATATATATATATACATACAAAAATATATATATATATATATACACATATATATATATATATATATATATATATATATATATATATATATATATATATATATATATATATATATATATATATATATATATATATATATAAAGGGAAAATATACAAGTAAATGGAAAAACTTTATTGAAAACCTTAGAACAAAAACGTTCTGCGACCGCGACCATGACCGCACAGAGAATAGGTATGTGAACGTGTGATGAAACAAATTCTCTTAACTTCATAACGATTCGTCCCAAGTATAACACAATTCCTATCACATCGTTAAGAAAATATTGGCAAATGAAACAAACTTTGACCAGAACCTGAATACAAATTTTTCTACGGCTGTGACCTTAACCATTTTCTCAAATGAAAAAGGGTAAGCATGCATGGGCTGTGACCTTAACCATTCTCTCAAATGAAAAAGGGTAAGCATGCATGGGCTGTGACCCTAACCATTTTCTCAAATGAAAAAGGGTAAGCATGCATGGGCTGTGACCTTAACCATTCTCTCAAATGAGAAAGGGTAAGCATGCATGGGCTGTGACCTTAACCATTCTCTCAAATGAAAAAGGGTAAGCATGGATGGGCTGTGACCTTAACCATTCTCTCAAATGAAAAAGGTAAGCATGCATGGGCTGTGACCTTAACCATTCTCTCAAATGAGAAAGGGTAAGCATGCATGGGCTGTGACCTTAACCATTCTCTCAAATGAAAAAGGGTAAGCATGCATGGGCTGTGACCTTAACCATTCTCTCAAATGAAAAAGGGTAAGCATGCATGGGCTGTGACCTTAACCATTCTCTCAAATGAGAAATGGTAAGCATGCATGGGCTGTGACCTTAACCATTCTCTCAAATGAAAAAGGGTAAGCATGCATGGGCTGTGACCTTAACCATTCTCTCAAATGAAAAAGGTAAGCATGCATGGGCTGTGACCTTAACCATTCTCTCAAATGAGAAAGAGTAAGCATGCATGGGCTGTGACCCTAACCATTTTCTCCAATGAAAAAGGTAAGCATGCATGGGCTGTGACCTTAACCATTCTCTCCAATGAGAAAGGGTAAGTATGCATGGGCTGTGACATTAACCATTCTCTCAAATGAAAAAGGGTAAGCATGCATGGGCTGTGACCTTAACCATTCTCTCAAATGAGAAAGGGTAAGCATGCATGGGCTGTGGCCTTAACCATTCTCTCAAATGAGAAAGGATAAGCATGCATGGGCTGTGACCTTAACCATTCTCTCAAATGAAAAAGGGTAAGCATGCATGGGTTGTGACCTTAACCATTCTCTCCAATGAGAAAGAATAAGCATGCATGGGCTGTGACCTTAACCATTCTCTCAAATGAAAAAGGGTAAGCATGCATGGGTTGTGACCTTAACCATTCTCTCCAATGAGAAAGGGTAAGTATGCATGGGCTGTGACATTAACCATTCTCTCAAATGAAAAAGGGTAAGCATGCATGGGCTGTGACCTTAACCATTCTCTCAAATGAGAAAGGGTAAACATGCATGGGCTGTGGCCTTAACCATTCTCTCAAATGAGAAAGGATAAGCATGCATGGGCTATGACCTTAACCATTCTCTCCAATGAGAAAGAATAAGCATGCATGGGCTGTGACCTTAACCATTTTCTCAAATGAGAAAGGGTAAGCATGCATGGGCTGTGACCTTAACCATTCTCTCAAATGAGAAAGGATAAGCATGCATGGGCTGTGACCTTAACCATTATCTCATAAGAGAAAGGGTAAGCATGCATGGGCTGTGACCTCAACCATTCTCTCAAATGAGAAAGGGTAAGTAAGCATGCATGTCACCGAATGATTTGTCCTAGCTTCAATCAGTCAGCAGGTCATAGCAGGATGCCAACTAGCTGGCAAATGTGTCGACCACAAGAATCACTTTTTTGACTTATCTTGAGCCACTTCTTAAATAAATATAAACGATTTGCATTTGGCTCGTTGGCTTGGAGTTGACCGCCAGTGAATTACAGATTTGAATCATACCCGTCTTATCTTCTACCACAGTTTCTCCTTGTTCTAATACCCCACTGTCCTCAAGTACCTTATCTAGTTTCTAGGTTTTAACACGTAAATAAACATCCCCTAGGGTCCAAGCATTAGCACATTTATAGCTTGCGCTCACACAGAAATCCTGTAATTGGTCACCTTTGCAGGTTTGCTAATGAATGTAATTAACCGTTTAGAACATTACAAAATTGTCCACTACGTTAAATGAGTTGATTTACGAGGCAGGACGATTTTGATGCGATGTTTGAAGAAGATAATTGCTTTATTCTAATGAAAAAATGCTAAGCACGTAAGGAAATAATGTGCAAATTTGCCTGTAATATCACCTCTGTGGTATTCAAATTGGTTAACTTTATTTTTTAAGTTAGAACGAACATTTTTGAGAGGTTCTGGAATTATGCACATAATACGTCTGAATGAGAAGCGTATAAGGAAATAACAAAAACATAAACAAGTCAAACATGGACAGAGCATTCTGATATAGATCATGCAAAAAAATTTGAATTCTGTCGACCACAGTAAAGACTATTGCTATTTTAAATCAACTCATATGAGAATGAAATTATATTTTTATTTCATTTATATCCCACTTGTCCCCCATTCTCGCACTTATCCTTTTACCTCTGTGGAAGAAGTCAATTCTCCCATTTTTCAGACCGTATTTAAAGTCCTATTGTATAAAGAATTGTCTTAGAGTCATAATTATATACATGTATCCAAAGAATAATGGCAATTTATGACGGCAATTCAGAAATATATGCCAATGAAACATCAACTCAAACCTTAAAAACTGTTGATGGTGCCTCTTCCGCAGGTACTGTTTAAAAAGTGTCTGCTCTGTATTGTTTCCCACTAAAGTGTGCTTGGAAATGAAAATGTCTTCACACCATATCATGTACTAGAAAATGAACAAACAAAACAAAATTCCCTTGAGGAGACTGATACTCTACTGGGATTTTCAGGGATCCAAAATAAGACAAGTTCATTCTTTGATATCAGAACGGTAAAACTATATCTGATCTTAGTCAGATATAACAATTTTATTTTTTTAACTTGGCCGCTGCTATGGTCATAGTGGGAGTACGATTGGCACAGTTTTTTTTTAGACCAAGCTAGATAATATCAAAAATATTTTGCTGAAAAGACCTTCTAAATATGCCCATCCATTCCGGAGCAATACAAAATGTATTTTCAAGACGGCCATGTCTGCCGTATTGGATCCTAGTCTGGCACCATTTTCACTAAGGACCTTCTACATATCGCAATCAGTCCTTTCGTGAAACCGATTGTTAATATAACTGTCCATTCAGCAAACCCCTTGTCAATATACCCGTCCATTCAGCAAACCCCTTGTCAATATATCCGTCCATTCAGCAAACCCCTTGTCAATATACCCGTCCATTCAGCAAACCCCTTGCAAATATAACTGTCCATTCAGCAAACCCATTGTCAATATAACCGTCCATTCAGCAAACCCCTTGTCAATATACCCGTCCATTCAGCAAACCCCTTGCAAATATAGCTGTCCTTTCAGCAAACCCCGCGTTAATATTACTGTCCATTCAGTAAACCCATGTTAATATAACTGTCCATTCAGCAAACCCCGCTTTAATATAACTGTCCATTCAAGACGAGTAGCGATAACAAGAATTTCAAGATGACGCTATGGTGCCCTTTTTGGATGTTAGATCGACGTCACTTTAATATACAAACAAGGAGACACCATACCATATGAAAATGTAACAGCAATATGACTTTCAATTTTGGATAATGTCCGATTTTCAAGATGGCTGCCACTGTGATTTACGCCATTTTTTATTGAGGACTCACAAAACTTCATACAAAGTCTTCTGGTAAAAAGATGATGGCTGATTTGACATGAGATCTTCATTAGCTTCAAGTAGAACCAACCAGGCATCATGAGAAGACTTTTAATGAAAACCACATGTTGATATTTGTCGATCTGGAGCAGCAATAACAATATTTTCAAGAACTGTGGTGGCTACACTGATTTTTGAGCGGCACCCTTTTAATTTGACAATAACCTCGGGAAGAGCCTGTGTGTAAAGTTTCTCTATACTCCTCTGCGTAACTGAACAGCAGTAGTAAGAACAAACTTGTGTTAACGGACGTACAGACACAGAATACAGACCATCCCATAAACTATTCTGGTATATGACCAGTAGAGCTAATCAATTATATATTGTCAAAGAAAACATCCATTTCCGGACTGTAAGAAAGTTGTTTAATTCGTAAAGATTTTAACCATAAGTCTGAACACTTTTTAAAACTGAAATAAATTTGTTTAAAAATGCATGCTTCATACAAGTATTTTTGACAGTGGCCACGGTGTACAACAATAAAATGCATGCTTTATACAAATCTTTTTGACAGTGGCCACGGTGTACAACAATAAAATGCATGCTTCTTCATATGAGTCTTTTTGACAGTGGCCACGGTGTACAACAATAAAATACATGCTTCATACAAGTCTTTTTGACAGTGGCCACGGTGTACAACAATAAAATGCATGCTTCATACAAGTCTTTTTGACAGTGGCCACGGTGTACAACAATAAAATGCATGCTTCATACAAGTCTTTTTGACAGTGGCCACGGTGTACAACAATAAAATGCATGCTTCATACAAGTCTTTTTGACAGTGGCCACGGTGTACAACAA